TTTTTACTCAATGAACATAAGGATACTGACACACACAGGGCACATGCATTTTCACTTCTTCTTCTTCTTCAGGTCACAGCTGACCTGAGACTCTGGCTTTCTCTGTCTTCTTTGAAGCTCCCTATGAAATAACAAGAGAGAAAATACTGTCAAGTTCAACAGTATGATAAATAAATTTTAACATCAAAACTGTTACTTTAACATGTTAACTTGCGTACCCATATTGTAATCTCTTTAACCTATAGTTGTGCAGGTGTACTGACATTTCATTAATAAACCATAATTTTACAGGTAGCATTTTTCATTGTCGAATTGTACTACCCACTGTTTTAATGGGACGTAGCAAAATCTGACAGGGTAGCACAAATCAACAGAAAAATGGTGGTGTGCCGAATTCTGCACCCCTGCCAGATTATGCACCCCCTCGTTGAAGTCACTACCTAATTGCCTAATCCCAACCCCACCTCTAATCCTAACCCTCCCCCACACCTACCAATAGGTTGTTTGCACATGACGTCACTGATGACGCGCGAAATGCAGCTGGAGGGCAGGAAGTGATTTTTCTCCATAGAAATCACTAGCAGAAACTCCAAATGCCAGTGTTTTGCATTGTTTATGGATGCTCAAATTGGCCAAACCGAAAAACCACAAGGAGCTTTTATCGTGTACGAAAATGTGTTGTTCATTAAAAATTGATTTAAGAGGTTTAAAATGAATTTAAGAAAACGATTATACATAGAATATAGTGCAATCAGTTCGGACATCGCACAGTGCTCATTCAATGAATGCACAGCTAAACAGATGAGTTTTGAGTCTGCATTTAAATGTGACTAATGTTTTAGCACATCTGATCTCTTCTGGAAGCTGATTCCAACTGCGGGCGGCATAATAACTAAAAGCAGACTCCCCTTGTTTTGTGTGAACCCTTGGTATTTCTAACTGACTTGATCCTAATGATCTGAGTGGTCTGTTAGGTTTATATTCAGTGATCATATCTGCTATGTATTTAGGTCCTAGGCCATTTAGTGATTTATAAACGAGTAAAAGTACTTTAAAATCTATCCTAAATATAACTGGAAGCCAGTGTAAGGAGCTGAGGACTGGTGTGATATGCTCAGATTTTCTGGTTCTAGTTAGAATTCTGGCAGCAGCGTTCTGGATGAGCTGCAGCTGTCTAATGGTCTTCTTGGGAAGGCCGGTGAGGAGACCATTACAATAGTCCACCCTGCTGGTGATAAAGGCATGAACAAGTTTCTCCAAGTCTTGACTGGAAACAAAACATCTCATTCTTGCAATGTTTTTTAGATGATAGTATGCTGATTTAGTTACTGCTTTGACATGACTACTGAAACAACAAAAGTGCTAATATACACTCACAATGTGATATAATACTACCAAAAAAATTATAATCCTACCCTTTAACTCCAGACCGAAATCCCAGATAGCCAGACAATAAAAAAAATATAAATAAATAACAATTATTTTTGTTTGGGATGCTGTGAGCTTGGAGACTGTAGTGTACACTGTAAGTTTGAAAACGTTTAGCTTGAATGTTTAATATGAATAAACAGTGCTCATAAACGGCTGCGGAGGTAGTATTCTCAAGTGAAGCGAGTTGAGGCTTGGACCCGGAAACAGTGCTTCTTGTGTCACCACTTAACAAGCGGATACATGAAGATTTGAATGGCAATGAAAAGAACCTCATTGCCATTAAAGTGAAATTACTGAACCTAATCATAAGCTGTTTTTTTTAAATGCTCATAAAAATGAAATAAATTTAATTAGACAGACTTAGAAGTTTTGCATCTGAAATCTTCACATGCATTTCATATTACTGAACTGCAGTTATGTTGTATCTGTGCTTCATTATACTGCGAATCTCCAGTTTGTACTTCAATGTACTGCAGTAATGTTTTGTAGTTTCCCCCCTCACTCTATTTCCCCGTATTATTCCCCTCCTCGCTCCGCTTCTCACTCCAGTCCAGCGGGGGGCGCTAAACACATGCGTTTGTTTGCCAAACAACATTACACCTCAGAAGAAGAAGATCAGTTTCAGAGGAGAGTCTTCTGAGGAGAGTTCAGCAGCTCACGGTATTTCTCATATTTACACAACTATCAAACACACTTTATACAGTCTGTTTAAGCCACATTTTACAGACCCATGTCTGTGTTGTTTTCATCCGGTTCAGCGCTACTTGTACGTCTTTTCTGGCGTCTTTCTGCTGAAATAAAAATTTAGTGCAGCCAGGGCCGTTTTAACCATAGGGCTAGGCGGGGCTGAAGCCCCGGGGCCCGAGCAAGGAGGGGGCCCATGATTGGCTGTGGAGTAGATTGACTGGAGCGCCGATCGCCAAAGCCACCACGCCCCCCATTTATTAGCGCTGTTATTTAGTTGAGCTTTTCCGTAAATTCCATGCATTACCATTTGAGATTGAAACGTAAAGTCTGAATTTGGTTTACCAATCAAATGCATTTATTCTATATTCGATTTCTGAATGATATGCGCATGTATCTATCAGGTGATTGCTGCCCAGTATGTCTGCATTCACCTCTCTTCACTTTGTTCTGGAGTAATCTGGAAATGGTCGCGCAAAGAACAACATTCAATAAGTAAAAATGTCAGCAATTCTAAAAGAGAGAGGGGCTCAAAAAACGAAAAACTTCAAATACAAACAACATAAAAAACATGACTTCGTAAATTCCCCAGCTATCAGGTTATTTTACTAAAGCTGATGATGGAGTGGAAGTTGCTGGAACAGCAAGTGAACCGGGCATATGGAGCAGATAAAAACAGTGTCATCGTCCACACAGATTTTAGGTTAGTTTGATTATTAACTGGATTTATATTGTTTTTGTGTTTGAACAAACTATATTCATTTAAGGGCTGGGAGATAATCCGGTAGAAATATATAAATCGTTGATTGAAGCACGTCATGATGTAGTCTAAGCTTCTCATTTCAAGGCGTTTTAAGCAGGTTTTAAAACAAATCTTTTATACTGTCCATGGACATTACGCTGTGGGGCAGAATTCATTCTGGTAAATGCGTGCGTTAAAACGGTTTCTACCTGATACACCTGCTCGTATTCCTGACTAAACTTTCGCTCCTTGTGCTTAAACGGTCAAATACACATAGTCATGTGTCAAAATGCCCGTCTTTGCGAGT